CGCTTGAGAACTGTCACATGATAAACAGTTATGGTGAATTTTCTTATGCTGGGAAGAAGTCTAACTGCCTTGGTTGATGTGTGAGACACTAAGACTCAGGGACTAGAAATTAAGTTCAAGTGAATGTCTGTGAATTAATTCTAATTTATTATGTAATTTTTCTCTATATTGCTTATACTTGAGAATGTTGTGCATGTTATCAACAGAGAGTTATATATTCCCAACCACAGCTGACAGCTACAAGGTAATAAGCCCTGGAGTCCTGATAGAATAGAGAACTAAACACTGATTTGAATTTACAAAACATTCTTTTAGTCATGCTGATAGCAGAATTTAGCACAAGGATTGCTCTCACAGAGGATGAGATACCTCAGCCAGTCGGTTTACCAACAGCTTGTGGTTAATATGGAGGTCATCACTGGGTAGGTACAGAAGACTGCACTTTCTCTGCCATCAGATTATATTTCAAAGGTGTGCTTGTAAGAAAAAAATAATCAGATTCGTTAAATCCCATTTGTTACAAGTTACAGTAAAATTGTTTTTTAAAGGCCAAGTAATCCATGAAGACACAGTTTAGCCATTCCCATTTTATAAATGAGGACTCAGAAATCATCACCTTGGCTGATCATGGAAGTGCTTTTGTGTCTCTGCTACAAACTTATTCTAATATTACAGGTAGATAACATAATGTTTTACATCAAATGAACATTTCTTCTTTCTCTGTTCTTGCATATGTAACAATGACATAATACATGCAAATATCTGTGAAATAATTTCAGGAAAAGACATACAGCATTTTCTTTCGGAAGGGAGTGTCTTATTTTGTTTGACATTATTGTAAATAATGCATGGGAAACACTTGAGAGCTACTGATCAAAATACTTTTCTGTTGATAACTTGATTTAGTAGATAAGACAAAAAGCTTTTCCCCTTGAAGCTGTTGGATTAAATGAGTTCAAGGTGAGGGCTAGCTTAGGAGTGGTTCCAAAGAAATGGGCAGTTTTATTTCTTACGTAACTTCCACACCATCAAGTTCAACACATCCCTGGTAGAAATGTTTGTATTCTGGGCAAAGTGATGAAAAATTACATGAGCTTGACTATACACTGCTCTTTTCCAACTACAGTCAACTTTTTGAACTCAAAAAAGAGAACTTTACCAATAACTTACCTGCTAATTTACTTTAGAAGCTACACTTTCTGAAGTCACTTCATAACTGAGGTGCATTTTCTGACATTAATAATTTCATATTCTGTATTTTCAGAAATGAAAATTCTTCCAATTCACAAAAAAAAAAAAAGAAAAAAAAAAGAAAGCAGCTTAAGTAAATCCACCAGCTACATAGCTCCATGAAAGCTGCAGTTTTATTCCATTAAGGACAATATCTAATTAGAAGCAACACATGGAACTGTTTTCTAATAAACACTGTAAATATCACATAAATCGATTTTATTTTAATATTTTAATTTTATTAGAAGTACTCCCTCCCTCTATTCATACTGCAATGATTTTTACTTACAGAACTTTTGCTAGTTACCTGTCTAAGAAGGGAGTTTCTGTACATGTGGGATCCATTTCTTGTACTAAAAAAGGCAAGATTTTATATTTTTTCTTTTTCCTGTGGGTACACATTGGATTTAATGGCTTTTCAGTTCCCTTCAGTTCTTATGCTCATCTTCCTTGAAAGTCGCAGGCAGAACAGATAACATGCCATCATTCCCTCAGCACTGGGCCTTATGTTCTGAGTCATATAGAATAAGGTACAAATCTTTTGGTTCTGCTTACATTCCTCATTTATACAACACAGTCATAATCAATGAGTACTGTGAAAGAGAAATAATAGCAGCCCCCTAGTGTACCAGACACAGGTAAGATTGAGTGTTGAAATCTTCTGAAGTAATTTCTATGGTCCTTTTCACTGTCTTGCAGAATAGGTGCTGCCTTGCAGCCATAGACTTGTTCCTGCTCTGATTTCTGATAATTTTAATTCACTACACTTTTCAGCTTTCTACTCACATCCCTCCGTGCTTGAACTCAGAAAAGAGACCATTAAACATGAGTATTTCAGGCTTAGCATAAATTTCTCATTTGAAATAAGGAGCTATAGGTTAGGAATTCCCTGCACACTGCTTAGCCGTAATTTCAGGGCATGATTAATTTCTCGGTGCAAATCACCAGGCAGACACCCTCAGGGGTTCCTTGCTTCTGCTTAAAGCAGAAGATTGAAACAGAGGAGCGCTCATTCATAGAAGAGATTGTAATTTTACTGTTGACATACACCTGCAAATTTTCTCTATATCAGAAGCTACCACTTAGATGTATACATACTTTTCTGCTAAGTTCCTGTCAGATGCAGAGGTCTGTTTCAGGATCCCTAGGAAAACGCCATATGCAATAAGAAACGCAGTTTGCAGTTGAGAGAAATGTGTCAAAATGCAATGGTGCTTCTCAAAACTGCATTGCCAGACCTCTGCCTTACCCTCTCTCGCATTGCCGATAACCTCTCAGCAGCAGCCCTACGAGCTGAGGAGCATGAAACGTTTGCAGCCAGCAACATCTGACGATAACCTTGGCTGTGACAGACATCATCGCTACCGCTCCGAAAGACAGGGGCGACCCACAAGCCCAGCGTACCCAAGGCCCTGCAGGCAGCGAGAGAGGGCGGCCACTCAGTTCCTCAGCCGAGCGTTCTGCCCGTCGGGAATTTCCCTGCCGGGCAGCGACCCTCCCTGCTGATCCCTCCGGCCCAAGCCGCCGCCAGGTGGCGCCTGGCGACCGCGCTTGAAGAGGAGCCGCGGGTGGGACCGGGAGAGGGAACGGGAGAGGGAAAGGGAGAGGGGCAGGGAGAGGGAAGGGGAGAGGGGCAGGGAGAGGGAACGCGAGTGGGACCGGGAGTGGGGCAGGGAGGGAGCCCTGGGAAGGGAGAGGGCTTGGGAACGGGTTCTGTTCGGGTCGGGGAGCAAGTCCCAGTTCTGAAGTGGGTCAGGGAGCGGGTCCCGGTTCGGGAGCGGCTCTGGGAACGGGCCGGGAAGCTAGGTCGCCCCGGGGAAGAAATATTTTAATAAAAGGGGAGCCGCCGCCGAACTTCGGGGGCCGAGGTGTGCGGGTGCGAGCGTGGGAATGGGGCTTTGCGGTGTGCGGGGCGCAGCCTTACGGCCCGAAGTGCCCCGAGCAACATGTCCTTTTTAGTGATTATTACTGTCGGAATTAAAATGTGCAAATTCCAAATATCTCCCAGCGGGTGATGCTGCGTGGTTCGGCCGCAGCGGCGGCCGGTGAGCGCTAAGGTGTCGGTGGCATGTTGGAACAGGGGCGTCTTAGCACGGCGGGTTCAAGCAGAAATAATGGGGGGGAGGGGGCCGGCATGGCTCTCCCTGCCTCCGGTGACACCGGAGGGGCCGTCCCAGTGGGAACATCGCGGCTTGTCGCTGCTGCTCGCGATGTGTCGAGGTGCGGCTCCAAGGCGCGGGGGTGCCTGGCCGGGGTAAGGGCCGGGGTGCGGCATCGCCGGCGGTGCCGTGGCAGCACTCCGCTCGGGTCCCGGTGTCTGAATCCCTGCCGGGTGCCTGTGCGTGTGTGTGTGTGTGCGTGTGTGCCGGAGAAGAGGGAGGAGGGAGGAAGTGGGGTGGTGGTGGTAGCGGCTGGCGGGAGGGGGATGATTATTGGCAATGGGCGGGAGAGAAAGAGGCGACTCCTGTTTCCTTTTCTTTCTGCCAGCGCAATCTCGGCTCATTTTCTCTAAGCTATACAAGTTCACGGACGAGCTACCTAGCCAGCCCTCCTCTCCCGTCATGGACCTCCCAGGTAAAAAGGCCGTTCTCCTCCCCGCCGGCTGTTCTCTTTGCAAAATACCATTTTAAATTATAGCAAAAATAAGGTGCGGGGTTAGGGCAGCGGTAGAGATGCCTCCGGGGAAGTGTAGGGGCGATCTCCCAGAAGCGACATCTCCGGGTGCTCTGGTGAACGGCAAAAACTGAGATGCAACTTCCGAGGGAGAAGCCTGGTGAAGCTTTGACTCCTGCGATACGTGTGCATGCCGGGGTGGGAACGGGGGGCCAGCTGCTTCCTTCTCGCGAGTTTAGGGTGTCGCCAGGGTTGGCAGCGGTGGTGGTAGCCTGGCCTGGGGCACAGAAGATTGAGAAGTACAAATCGGTGCCGGAGCGCAGCAGCCCCCAGGCGGGGAGAAGAGCGGCGGCGGCTTCCAGAGCCCGGCCGGAGCAGCGCCGGGGCGGGAGCGCGGGGTTCGGGGCGCCCCGGCCGCCCGCGAACTCTACAGAGAGCGGGGCAGCTCCATCGAGGGGAGAGAGGGAGAGTCACTTATAACACGAATAAAATCTCCTTCCGTGGTGTCTGGGGCGTTAGGAGACGCGTACAAACCAGGCTCGCAGCTGTAGTAAATAGTGGGGCTGTGGGAAGAAGTGGAGTCGGGTTTTGGAGACCCCATTGGTTGTGGGGCGGGAAAGGGACTGCCCGAGGGGCACGCAGGATGCATCGCCGGGGGTTTGGGGATGCAATCTGCCGCGCTGCCCCTCCTTCCCCCTTCGAGTACGGCAGGAGCCAGGCTGCTGGGGAACCGGAAAAAAGAGGGAACACGGGGCAGCCAGGTGTCTCCCAGACCTGTTGTACTCGCTGGGGCGCCGGGGACGGGGAGGGGCAGCCCGCCGGGCGGCGCGGTGCCGGCTCCCGCCTGCCCGCCCGCTGCTGTGCTTCACCGCCGCCTTTCCCCTTGGCAGGCTGCTGCGTGCCGCCCGCCCTCTGAGAAGGCTCCTTCGCCCCGCGCAGAGGAGGAGGCGGAGGAGGAGAAGAAGGGGAGGAAGGCGCGGCCGCAGCCGCCGCTGGCCAGCCGCCGTCCCGCAGAGCGCTGGCCGCAGGGCGCCGCGGCGGCAGCAGGCGCGCAGCCCCCTCCGCCTCCCCGCGGCCGCCCGCCCGCGGCGGCGGCGCGGGGCGCCCGCATGTCGGCGGCGATCCGGAGCGGCGGCGGCGGCGGTCCGGCGCTCGGCATGGGGCGGCGGCGGCGGGGGGCGCTGCCGGAGCCGGCGGGCGGCTGCTCCTGCTGCCTGGCGGCGGCGCTGCCGCTGCTGCTGCTGCTGCTGCCCGCCGGGTGCCCGGTGCGGGCGCAGAACGACACGGAGCCCATCGTCCTGGAGGGGAAGTGCCTGGTGGTCTGCGACTCCAGCCCCTCGGCCGACGGCGCCATCACCTCCTCCCTGGGGATCTCGGTGCGCTCGGGCAGCGCCAAGGTGGCCTTCTCGGCCACCCGCAGCACCAACCACGAGCCCTCCGAGATGAGCAACCGCACCATGACCATCTACTTCGACCAGGTCAGCCGCCGCCTGCTTCGCCTTCGCTGCCCCTTGTCCCCGAGCCCTGCCTCCCCCTGGCTGCACGCGTATTCTCCTTCTGGCTCCCGCTCCATTTTATCATCCCTACCCACCCGCTCAATAGAAACTTCACGTCTCAACTCCCCGGAAGGACTTTGGAAAGTTCTTTTAGGTAGCTGCGGGGCTTTCCTAGGGTGGTACCGGGGGTGAACACGCGGGCTTCTTGTCCGGTCACAATCGCTAGTACGTAAAAGCTTTACACGTGAAACTCTGTGCCTCGGACGCGTGCGGGGGCGCCTTGCAGCCAAGGATTGCCTCGGCCAGGCAGGAACGACCCCAAGAAGGGTGCGCATCCCTCTTTCCGTGCAAATTCAGAGATTTACCGATGAGGAGTCGCCGGATCTGCCTGTTCGGAGCGCATTTGGCAATGTCACAGCATCTCTCGGAGGGAGGGAGGGAGGGATGAGGAGGAAGAGGGTGTTTCCCGCGTTATCACACGAGGCACACGGTGTCCCCGGCGGGCTGTATCGGAATGGTGATACCCGCAAGGCACACGCCGGGCAGAGCAACGAAAAGCCCTGCCTGCTTGTCCTGCCCCTGCCGAGCAGCACCGCTCGCCTCCCGGAGACCAAACCCCGTCCGTCCACTTTATTTGTGCGGTGAAATTTCCCTTTTTTCCTACCGCCTGTGACTCCTGGAGTAGTCAGTCCTGCAGAGTCAGCCAAAATTAGCATACCAGACTGTTTTCTCTGGGCTTGTTTGTTTGTTGGCTTTTGGGTTGTTTGTTTGGGTTTACCTGTCTGCCTTATTGTCATTTATCTGTCTACCTGTCCCTCCTAATGAGTTTGCACAGCTATTCATCGCGTACAAATCTTATAAAATCAGAACAGTAGAGAAAAAAAAAAACAGCAAAGCAACAAATAATCAACCTCCCAACTTGCTAACTATATAGCATATTTTGATGTTTTACCCGGCTGTGTACAGTTCCTAGGAGTTTGAAGGCGTTTTCTCGGTGCTCCCACAATAAGGGTCTTTAATTTTTTTTTATTTTTTTCCCCTTTTTTTGGAAACTATAGACTTTGTCTGTTTGGCAGGAAAGGCTTAGGATTTGGGGGCGTGGGGGACGACGGTGTTTTTGTTTTCTCCTGTTTTGTATTTCTTCATTAAAGCATAGTTTTAGCCCGCGAGGTGAGCGTGACGGGTGTGCCCCGGGGGCGGGCACGGCGGAGCAGCCGGCTCGGGCACACCCGCTCGCAGGACGGCATCGCCACCGACCCGCAGGTTCTTCTCTCCCCGCCGCCCGTGCCTTTTGAGCCAAATCATGCTCCCCGTCACAGGAGCCTGGACAAGGCGCCATCGGGTGAGCCGAGGCCAAGTCCCCGTCACATCGGTGGGATCGGCAGGGTGCGGCCGCCGCTTCCGAACGGGGCTTTGCACATCTGCCGGAGTGCTCAGCTCTTCCTCCTTTTTTGTTTTGTTTTGTGTTTTAAAAAAAAATTGAAATGCATGAAAAATTAAGGTTATTGTAGGGAAGGAGGAACAGGCCCACCCCAGCCTTCCTGAGGAGCGTGTGGACCAAGTGGCACGGCCCTCCAGAGGGACAGAGAGACATGAGCTGGCAGATGTTGCTGTTGCTGAGCATCCGCTTTCCTCCTTTGCCCCTCTCTGCAGAGCAGTTCTAGTTCTATACCCTATTAAAATCGAGGCCAGCTCTGATCTGAGTAGTGCTATCTAACAAACATACATTTTCATTATGAGCTAATGACTTTTGGTATTTTTTCCTGCCTTTTTTCCCCTCCCTCCTTCCCCCCATTTCACACTCCTCCCCCTCCTCCTTATGCCACCTTTGCTTTATTGACAGCTCAGTGTGGACATTTGCACTTCATCTAACAGCCTTTGGAGATCATTTTTGCGTAACTAAATTGCTTTATTAACTCTGATGCCTTTTAAATGTCTCTGTAACTTCACTCCACTCCCCTGCCACGCACTTTTAATTGTGCTGCAAATGCCATTTTGAGTATGCTTTATGTTGGTCGTTGAGCTCATGTCAGATTTTTGCTGGTGCTTTTCTAAGGTGGAGTCTGATTTCTCTGACTTCTGTCTTTCTCTCTCTCCTTTTCTTCGTTTTGTTTTATTTGTTTACATTCCAGGTATTAGTTAATATTGGCAACCATTTTGATCTTACTTCCAGTATATTTGTAGCACCAAGAAAAGGGATATATAGTTTCAGTTTCCACGTGGTCAAGGTCTATAACAGACAAACCATCCAGGTGGGTTCTAATCTAAAGAAGATGCTGTCTTTCCTTTCCTTTTTTTTTATTTCTTTTTCTTCATATATTCATTTCTAGTCTCATATTAAAAAAAACACAAAAACAGCAGTTGAAGAACAAGACTGTGGATTATTTTTAAAGGGGTCTGTATACATAACAGAAATCACACATTGCCTATTTCCTTATCTTAATTTAACCTAGATTCTAATCTGTACAAAAGTTTAGTGATGTGCACAGGGCAAAAAAATCATTGAGAGTGTTGAAAAAACTCAGATTCTGTCTCTTTGCACTTTTTAGGTAAGTTTAATGCAAAACGGCTACCCAGTGATTTCAGCTTTTGCAGGGGATCAAGACGTCACCAGAGAAGCAGCCAGCAATGGGGTCTTGCTCCTCATGGAAAGAGAAGACAAAGTGCATCTCAAACTGGAAAGGGGTAACCTCATGGGAGGGTGGAAATATTCAACCTTTTCCGGCTTCTTAGTCTTTCCACTATAAAAGAAGGCCAAATAGGAGACAGATCCATGAGCCGGAGCAAGGATTCAATTGTTAATGACACCCTGAACTTGGCAGCACATGACAATATTTTCAGTCACCCCGTCAGACTGTCACAGTAGAAGAATGATAACCTTCTAAACTCCAACATTTGCTTTGAATATTGACAATTCCTTGGAACCTGCGCCTCTAATTAGTTTTAGACGACAGTGATCTGTAGGAGAAATGAAATTATCGACCTGAGCAATTTGTACCTGTGATTGTAAAGTCAATTTTGGATTTTATTGTTGGGATCATTGACTTTCTTATTCTATTTTTTCCTCTCTTTCATTTTTTCCTGTTTTTCTTTCTCTTGTTGTTGTCCCAATGAAACAAATAACTCGGACCACAAAATCACTTTGTCAAAGGCTCACTCCAGAGCCAGAAGAATGGAGTGTTCAGCCCAATGAGGTGTTCTTTCCATGCTTTATTTCTTTGTGTTGTATAGCCTTAAGGAAAAAAAAAAA